TTCTGGGAACTAGAAAGCTTTTTAATCGCATATTTGATCAAACTTGTTCAACTATAGTATTTACGGACTCTCCACTGTTTTACCTTGATTTGTTGCTGAGCCAGGATTTGATTTTATGAAGAAGAGAAGTATCTTTCAGTAAAACGAATTCATAGAGTAAAGTGTTTTTGTGATGGAATAAAAATTGACAGTCAGCTCCTCATGAATGTCCGTTGGCCCTCCACATCTACTGTCTCCTGAATGCCCATGATGAGAGGGCTGCTTTCTTCTCTGTTATTTTATGTTATGTTAACAAAACCCTAAAAGTGGTTGTTATTATCTGCATCTCACAGATGAGGATGGGCCATTTATTACCATCTAGAATCACACAGCCTGGAGGATCTACGCCACCAGAGAGTTCTGCTCAGGAAAATAAAGAACCTGACGTTCTTGGATCATTCATTTAAATTATCTGCAACATCTTAAGAAGAGATGGATTTTCTTAGTAGCAGGGAATTGGGGTTTGAGCTCAGCCCAGACAGAGGCAGAGACGGTGAAGGCCTGTGTTGGGTGGCTGTGTTGGCGAGCTGTGGATGGGGTCAAAGGAGGCTGTGCTGACTGGACCTGGTTGCTGCTTCTCCTGCACTTGCACCAGAGGAGCACAGGAACAGAATCATGAACTCTGCTCTTGGACCTGTGGTGACACATTCTGTCCCAACTTTAATTGTAAATGACAGAATCACACTCAAAATAGCATGAGAAAGGTAGGGAGGAGTTAGTTGGCTGAATAATGGGGACATCCAGTTGGCTTTAGGCACAGCTCTAATTAGGACGGGCTTTCCCACCCGCCCTTCCCAGGACAGGCGGGAGGCCGTCCTCTAACCATGTTCTTTCAGGTCAGTGACTCCCATGGAAATTTGTTGGTTATTTAGGTCAAAGTTTTGGAGGTTCACTGTCTTGGGAGCCAGTCACAGAGGTCGGGCTGTCACGTCCTTGCCTGGTGAGGATGAGGTGAGGTGCTGGCAGTGGACCCGCTCTGCTCAGCCACAGGGCATACGTTGCCCAACAGGAAAAGGGCCTTTGCCAAATGAAGGAGCCGGAAAATTTCTGGGTCCAAAGAACGGCTGACTTTGAAGGGATGTATAGTCCAGTGCAAGTCCAGATTTCCTTAAAATTCATAAAACTTTGCTGTGTCTTTTGTAATGATTTTTAATGTCCTGTGTTATGGATTTAGTTTCCCTGGGAAGTAGACTCCAAGGGGTAAAAATCTGAATTCAGGTTTATGAGGAGTGCCTTGGGGGACCCAGAGTGGTGAGGGAGCGTACAGGGACCGCATCGGACCCACCAGAAATTGGGGTGGCCCCGAGACGTCCCAGATTGAAGCTGTGTGCTTCCACACAGGCAGGACAAGTGTGGGCTGACCCAGAGAGGAGGGCCCCCTTTGGTGAGGACAGTTCCTGGAAGGGAGGAAGGGAGGAGCCCCTGTAGTTCGGCAGCCAGTAGAAGAAATTTCCTTCCCAACTTGGAAGGCAACTGACTGCAGCTTCCGCAGACCTATCATGGAATAAAATTAACTCCAGGAAATGTGTTCTGTTTACCTGTCACTTTTAATGCTGTCTGGCATATCCCTGCCCTGTTGATCAGAGGTCCCAGTTTGAGGGCCACAGCAGCGACACTGGGAACCTGGCACAGGGGAGTGAGAAGGTAGATGCAGTGGAGGAGAAACCAGAGCAAATGAACGACCAAAGAAAGAGAGACTTGGGCCTTGCCAGAGGCCTCCCAGCCTCTGCCTATGGGTCTGATCCTGGGGACCACTGGAGTGTGGTCAGCAATCCAGGCCTGGAAGGGTTCCTTCCCATTTTCCTTCTGCTGGTTTAGAGGTCATTGGCACTGGTCCTTGCCATGTGTTCAGCCTCCAGTGATGGGAGAACGTGGGGCGAGAACTCCATTGCAGCTGGGCAGGAGCAGCAAGCTGCTGCTGTGTGGGGACAGGGGCTGCCCGAGCACTGGTGCGGCTGTGTGGGCTCGGCTGGCTCAGGCAGGGGGTTTCAGCTGTTTGTTTTGATGCTGCTGGAGCCTTCCTGACCTGCTAGCACTGTGATTGCTTCATTTCCTCTGTAAGGTGCTAGAATGGTTCCTTTCCCTTTTTTTTTTTTTTTTTTTTTTTTTTGACTGAGGTCCATTCCTGGACAGGGAGGAAGCCTGGGTGTGGGATGGGACACTGAGGTGTGTAGTGTGGGTGCTGGCGGTTTTCCTGAGCTACAGAGCACATTTCTCTGGCACAGATGGATACCTCTCTCCCAGCTTCCCTGGAGATCCTGAATTGAAAGGAGAAAATGCAGATTCCCTTCTGTATAATTTTCCCTGTGATTGAGCTTCTTTTAATTAAAGGTGACTTTTATTAAGAGCTCTTGAAGACATACAAGCATTTAAACATTCTTGGTTGAAAGTTCTTAATTCACTTATGAACAGATGCGTACTAAATGACAGTGATGTGCCAGGCACCTGTAAGTGAACAGAATATGTGAAAGTCTCTCTTCTTACTTAGGGAGATGGTTAGTACTAGTGAATCATAAGCTGAGAAGTCAGGCAGTGCTCTGCAAGAAGATGTAGACCAGGGGGAGGGCCAGTGGCTTGGAGTTTGGTCAAGGGCGTCCCCATTAAGAAGGTGACATTTGAGGAACGATGTGAAGGTGAAGGACGGACGTGAGGGATTTGGCTCTGGGACTTTCAGATCCGTTGAAGCCTTCTGGGAGGGGGAGCAGTGCAGCCCCAGGACTGCATGGGGAGGAGCAGCAGGGGACCCAGGCATTCTTCGCTCCCAGCACAGGGAGCATGCTGCCACAGCACCTGCCTGGGGACCCAGAGGCAGTTCACCACCTGGAGTCCCTTTCCTCATACCATTGTAATTGTTAAAACTTAAATAACTAGAACAATATACACTTTAAGTCATTCATTGTTTTTGAATGGAGCCTGAGTCACACCACCAGAGAACAAAGTAAACTCACCAGATCCCCCTGCCTGGTCTCCTCCTCACTCAGTTCTGATGTGGACACTGGTGAGGAGTGTGGACTTGGGCTGGACACAACCGTTGTGAATCATCATGAATTTTTAAAAAGATACCTGACCCCTACCAAAACAAATCAGGGATTTTGAATATCAGAAATTTTGTGTGTGCCATTTGATGTATCTAAAAAGGTAGAAATGGTGGAGTCCTAATTTAGTAATATTGATCACTACTCAGATTCCATGTAAGGTCATGCCAGACGTTACTACCCACTGTCTGCAAAAACCAGCCACAAGTAATAAATTCTGTCCTCTTTCCTTACATAATATCAAAATTCATTAATATTCATGAATGTTTATTTTAGCAAAATAAAGTAGAACTGCGTCCAGCTGTTCTGAGGGTTGGATAAGCCACTGGGGTAGGATCAGGATATGTCGGTTGCCTGGAGAGCCACTGTTATCATAGCCTGGTGAGGCCTCACAGCCTACTCATACTGGGGAACCCCATCCCCTCATTATGGGCCAGTGGCAGGGGTACATAGTAGTTGCCTGGAGGCTTAGCAACTTGTTTACCATGACCCTGCCACCCTGCTGTGGGTGAGACCAGCATTGGGAAAGAGCTTAGCTCCAGAGGAGTGCAAGGGCCTGGAGAGGTGGCCCAGAAGAAAATCCAGATGTGTATGTTTTGGGTTGCTTTCTACCAAATCTATATGTGCCCATCTCTGCTGTGTTTAATTGATTGCATTTTAAATTTTGATACATATTATGGTGTAATGAACTGTGATTTATTATACTTGTAAGGTATGGGGAGCTGTCCTGGGAGCCTTCTGCATGCCAGCCAGCATGTCAGGGATTTACTTCAGCAGGTGATCTCCTCATGCCCTGGTGAGGAAGGTAGTGGTGGTTTCCTTTTAAAGTTAAGAGGCCCAAAGAGGGTGTCTTAGGCAAGACCAGAGACTCGAGGAGTGGCAAGCATCTTATCACAGCATCTCAAACAGGAGTCTTGACTTGGCTCTTTAAAATAAATGTAAACACATTCTGAAATAACCAGAAATACTTTTTTTTCCCCCCCTTGGGAGAGTAGAAATAATGCATTATTTGTACTTCATTTTCCCTGAGTGTTTTGAGTAACTGCACTCCTTCATGTTATTGGAGGAAAAGAAGCAGGTGATGTGTTCTGTGTTCACAGATGGCCAGTGGAGGAGTTAGGAAGCTAAGAATAGTTAAGAAATGTTTCATTTGTATTCTCATATAAAACAAGTCAGATTTCATATAGCTCATTGAAATTCAGCTTAAGTGCAAGCAGGTAAATATCTCAGCACATAGAAAAATACAGTAGGGTTGATGACTCTCTAACTAGGAGACAGGCCACAATCATTAATATGTGAACATGTGTGTTACAGTCAGGATGCTCCTAAAGTTGCACACATTGAACTGACGCAATTGAGAAGGTCTTTTTTCATTTGCAATGTATTTATTAAGTTATTTGGTGAACGGATGGTGCAGCAGGTGTAAGCCCACTGTGCTGATAAGGGCCTGGAGGAAGGGAGTCTCTTGAGGGAAGGGTCCAGCTCATTCGGGGTGGAAGGGGCTTCCCAAAGAACTGGAAGTTTCTGTTGAGCCTGGGATCTGGAAGAAAAGAAGTTGTGAAAGGGAGCCTTGTGGGCCAGGAGGGGAGGGTGCCCAGCAGGGATCACCTTGGGTGGCAGGACATGGTGTGGAGTAAGGCATCTGCATGGAAACAGAGAGGGGCTGGTGCAGGTGTAGCCCTGTGTCCTGTGGAGGAGTAGTACCGCCTAGGCCAGGGTGGGTGGTGTGGGGCTGGGGAGGGAGAGCTGGGGCCATGCCCTAGAGCCAGCTGCCCCAGGCTTCCTCCTAAGACTGTATCCATTTTCAGGGACTTCTCTCTGGCAGTGATGCCTCTATGTGTATCTTGTCTGATCTGTTTGAAGTTTTAATTTGAGAAGGGCTTAGTGAAATTTTCATGCCTGTTTTCTTTTTATTTTAACCGGTAGAATCTTAAGAAGATTCAAGAAATGGAGAAGAGTGACGACTCCAGCACAGACCTAGATGAGCTGAAAAACGCTGACTGGGTGAGGCAGTGGGGTCCACTTCCTGGCTGTTCAGTGTCTAAGACAGTGTGACTTCCTAAATATAGAGTTTGTTAGGACTGTAGTGTGAATTGATCGGATGTAAATTTGAATGCCTGGTTTAACATGTGAGGAAATATCTGTTCCCATTTTTAAAAACTTTCTATTTTATCAGCCATCTTTCTTGTCTCTGGGAATTTTTGAAATTTTAAAATACCAACATTTCTAATGATACTAGTACCCAGATGTACACTTACGTGCACTCAAAGTCAAACGTATTTTCAGGATTAGGTGCAAGACTAGCATGCAGTGCCTTCATTTATCCAAAGACAGTTCCTGGATTAGGGTCCCAGGGCTTCAGAGTAAGTAGTGTGGAGTCTGCCCTCTAGAGCTCCGAGCAGGAGCTGGATCACAGGCCAGTGATGGATGTGCTCCAGGGACATGAGCCAAGCCTCCACTGGCTTGCTTCCAGATCCCAATGATGCACACTAGGGGTCCTGCCCTTAGTAAAACAGTGACAGGACAGTGGGCGCCCTGAAGCGTTCAAGGTGGGCTATGTCCAGGTGTCAGAGGGAGGCACACTTCAGAATTCTGACTTTTTTTTTTTTTTTTTTTTTTTTTTAAAGAGAGAGTGAGAGAGGAGAGAGAGAGAGAGAGAACTTTTGATGTTTATTTTTCAGTTTTTGGCAGACACAACATCTTTGTTGGTATGTGATGCTGAGGATCGAACTTGGGCCGCACACATGCCAGGCGAGCACGCTACCGCTTGAGCCACATCCCCAGCCCAGAATTCTGACTTTTTTTGAGCAAAGCTTTAAACCCAAGCACCTTGTCTGTGAGCTATTGTGACTTCTTGGCTGACTTTTTTTTTTTTAGTATCCTAAAATGTTATTTTTAGAGTTGTTTTTGTTTGGTTTACTCAGCATTTTGTACTCTTGAATCATTCCTTTATTCTACATGACTGTAGCTTTTCAGAAAAAAACTATAAATTTACTTATTGATGCCTCTTGACCTGTGGTTCTTTCAGGCCCGATTCTGGGTCCAGGTGATGAGGGATTTGCGAAATGGGGTAAAACTTAAGAAGGTCCAGGAGCGGCAGTACAACCCACTGCCCATCGAGTACCAGCTGACCCCCTATGAGATGCTGATGGATGACATCCGGTGCAGAAGGTACACCCTGCGGAAAGTGATGGTGAGTGACCACAGCCATGAGTGCTCTCAGAGGGTCGAGTGATGATGTTTGTTGAAATGGTCTACTTTATTATTATTATTATTATTATTGTTATTTTGGTACTGGAGATTGAGCTCAGGGCACTTGACCACTGAGCCAGATCTCCAGTCTTTTTTTGTGTTTTATTTAGAGACAGGGTCTCAATGAGTTGCTTAGTGCCTTTCTTTTTGCTGAGGCTGGCTTGGAACTCATGATCCTCCTGTCTGAGCCTCCCGAGCCGCTGGGGTTACAGGTGTGCACCACCACGCCCAGCAGTGGTCTACTCTTTATATTTTTTAAAGCATTTCTTCTCATAAAAGTAATACTTGATCATTGTAAAATATTTGGAAAATACATTATAAATTTCTCAAAGGAAAGTTATAAACTTATAATTGTACAAGCAAAGAAGAACTTTATTATGTGGAAGACATCCCTCAATCTTTTCTCTGTGATTTCATTTGGATAAAATGGGCTAATTTCATTTTGTCACCAGTTATTTTTGTTTGACATATTGTAATGTTTTTTCCTGTCATTATAGTCAATATTACCCTTTCTGAATGGCTCTATCTTTTGTAGCTATGGCTGAACCAGAGTCCATTAAGCTGATTGCCCCATACCCAATCATATGCAGCCTGTTTTGTGTGTTTTTTGACGTTTGTCTTCCTGAATAGCCACAATGAAATCCTTGGGTTCAGGTCTTAGAGTTGGAATGTCTGCGTGCCAGCAGCCTGACAGCTTTACCTGTCAAGTATGCCTGGAATCCGACCACGCACCCCTTCCGCTTTGGCCACATTGTCTCTCCCTTGGACTGTGGAGGTGGAGACTGAGTGAGGTGCTGGGCTGGGTCTGGAGGTACCCTGCACCCTCCTGCAGCATGCTGTGTGGCTCCTGGCTCTGCCTCGTCAGCCTCTGTGCTCTGACAGCCTTGCTGCCATACACCTGCAGTGCCATGTAACAGCAAGAGGGGCTTGTGTCTTAGACCACAGATGCCAGGGCAGCCCCTGGGAAATGTGGCTCAGGGACAACACTATGTCATGAAGTTATATCTCCAGTTCATGCCACAGTGAGCATTTGTTACCATGCTGGCTGGGACAGCAAGGTGTGCTGTAGGGTGGTGGCCACCAGTAGGTTTTCATGCTCCAGTGAGTCCTGAGTGATGGACAAGTGACAGGTGCATCCAGGCGCAGTTCCCCTTACTTTTGCATAAATTTTCCACACAACATTTTTGTCCTCTGTTTGCTTGCTCATTGTAGAAAGAAATGAATAAAAGCAAACGTGCTGTGTACCAAAACCTTGCCCTTGGCCTGTTCTTCCTGTTCACTCCCTAATTATAGATAGGCAGGTAGGTGGATGGTCATTTTACACAGAGAGTGGCATGTAGTACTAGAGCCTTTTTCAGTCTGTAAAGTCGACTGTGGATGATCTCTTTGTTTAATGGTGGCTCAATATTTCCTTGTATCCAGACAGCAAAAGCATCAGAATGAAAAGTGGAGTGTGCTGCCGGCTTGTACCTGGTTCTCTCCCCTCCCAGCCTTCTTTCCTCCTGCCATGATTTACTTCCCATCCCATGAACGGACATTTAGGTTGTTCCCAGTTTCATCATTTTAATCAGGATTAGGATGATCATCCATATAAAAACATTTTGGGGCTGGGGCTGTAGCTCAGTGCAGAGCTCTTGCCTAGCATGTATAAGGCACTGGGTTTGATCTTCAGCACCAAATAAAAATGAACAAATAAAATAAATGTATGCTGTCCATCTACAACTACAAAATTTTTTTTAAAAAAATCATTCATTTTTCTCCTGGGTTTAAATTTCTGCCGGAGACATGAATTGATAAAGATAAGGCATGTTTAAAATTTAATGCATTTTTGCCAGTCTTCTCTCCAGAAGATTGCACCAATTTGTATGCTTTCTAGTATTGCAAGATAATATATTCCAATCCTGTTGCCAATACGGGGTAGTGTTATCATTTTAAAAAACATCTACTTATTAGAACTTTATCCATTCTGATTGGGCAAGCACTTAGCATAAATCTCAGGTAGTTTTCCTCTGTAGCCAGAAGGCATTTTTGAAAAATTCGTCAGTAATTATAGTAAGCCCAGTTGGTCATTAGCATTAATAGTTGATCTAACATTAATGTCTTTTACCTGCTACCCTTGATATTGTTAAATCTTTACATTTTTATCCAAAAAATAATTGTGTTGAATAGTAGGTAACGTTTCTGATACTAAGAATTGCTAGGATAGATTCCCCTTGTAGCTGCTGACTTAACAGATTCCACCTGGGGCCTGAGTATTTGTACATTATATAATCACTCTCCGTGAGGATTATGGAAATAGTAATGTCTGATAGAATGTGTGTTGGTCAGCTTTTTTGTCACTGTGGCCAAAGGACCTCACGAGCAGCTTAGAGGAAGAAAAGCTTATTTGAGCTCATGGCTTCTGAGGTTCAGGTCATGGAGGGCCAACTCTACTGCTCTGGGTCCGAGGACAGAGAGATCATGCTGAAGGGCCTGGTGTAGGAAAGCAGCTCAGAACATGAATCAGAGACAAAATATGAACTCCAAAGGCACACCCTCAGTGACCCACCTCTTCCAGGCACACACTGCCTATAGTTATCACCTACTTAATCAATATCAGTGGATTAATCCACTGCTTAGGTTATAGCTCTTTTTTTTATAATTTTTTTAAATATTTATTTGTTTATTTTTATTTTTTTAGTTTTCAGCGGACACAACATCTTTGTTTGTATGTGGTGCTAAGGATCGAACCCGGGCTGCACGCATGCCAGGCAAACACGCTACCGCTTGAGCCACATCCCCAGCCCCTAGGTTATGGCTCTTAATCTAATCTTTTCACCTCTGAACATTCTTGCATTGTCTCATGTATGAGCTTTTGAAAGCTATCACATATCCAAACCATAACAGAATGACATCCAACTTGGAAAGTATTTGTAAGCGTAATTATTTTTTTTCCTGGGGTAAATAAAAGGCTTTGAAAATAAGAGTCTAGCTAGGTATGGTGGCATGCTCCTCTAATCCCAGGGGCTCAGGAGGCTAACGCAGGAGATTGAAAGTTTTTAGCTCCAGCAACTTAGCAAGACCCTAAGCAAATCTGTGAGATGTTGTCTCAAAACAAAAATGGCTGGGAATGTGGCTTAATAGTTACGCACCCTCAATCCCTGACACCAAAAAAATAAAGTGTACAGTTCAGTGACATTTAGTATATCACAAGATTGTACAGTCTCCACCTCTATCTAGTTCTGAAATAAGTTTCATCCTCCTAGAAGGAAATCCATAGCCATGATGGGTCACTGGTATCCCCCACCAGCCCTGGCAACCACTTCTCTGCTTTGACTCTGAGAACTTACCTGTCTGGATGTGTCATGAATGGAGTCATGTGATGTGCCACCTTTTGTGTCTGGCCTCTTTCACTTGGCCTAATGTTCTTTAGGTCTATCCATCCTGCTAGCATGTAGGAGTGCTTCATTCCTTTTCATGGCTGAATAATCATTCCACCCCAGGGATAGATAACATTGTACTCTGTGTTGTTGCTTGGTAGATATTAGGTTCTTGTCACCATTGTGCAGTGCTGGTGGGGTTGCTGTGAACCGTCACTTGCAAGTGTCTGACATCTCATTTCTTTTCTTTTGGGTGTGTGCCTCGGCTAGAGTGTCTGGGTCACATGGTGATTCTGTGAGTGACTGAGCAATCACCAAACTCTTTCCACAGTGGTAGCACATTTAATGTTCCCACCAGCAGGGGACGAGGGCTTCTGTGTCCCACATTTTTGTCAACACATATTGTCCATATCTGCCTTTAATCATAACTGCCCTGGTTGGCATGGCGTGGTATCTCTTTGTGGTTTTGATTTGCTGATGACTAATGCTATGGTGCTGCTATGTGTGTGTTCACGTGTTTGTGGGCCATTTGTGTGTCATCTTTGGAGAGGTGTCTGTTGAGGTCCTGTACCCATTCTGCCATGATGTTGTAACGTTCCTTCGTATGTTCTAGATGCTGAATCCTCAACACACACAATTTACAAGTATTTTATCCCATTTTGCAGCTGGTCATTCTTCTGTCAGCCTCTTGATAGTGTCCTTTGGTGTTTAGAAGGTTTTAGCTTGACTAAAACAGTTGATCTGTTTTGTCTTCTATTTCCCATGCTTCAGGTATCCATTGCCAAATCCAGGGCATGAGGATATCCTCTTGTGTTCTCTTGTATGATTTTCACTTCTGGTGCTTATGGTCTGGTCTTTGCTCCATTCTTGAGTTAATCTGTACGTTGCATGTGGTAAGAGGTCAAGGTCAGGCTCCTGTGTCTCAGCACCCAACTCTGATGTATGAACAAATATGTATGGATTCATTTCTGGATTCTGAATTTTGGGTCCTTTTCTTTGGTTAGTCTAGATAATGGTTTGTCACTTTTATTGATTTTTGTCAGGAAAATACCTTTTGGTTTTGTTAATTCTGTCCACTGCCTTCTGCTCTCTGCTCATTGTCCATTGTCTCCTCTCTGTTCTTTACCGTTTCCTCCGCCCTGTATCCATAGGCATTGTTCTTTGTTCTTTGTGGGGTCTGTGGGTTGTGGAGTCAGGTTGTTGATTTGAGTCCTCATTGAACTCAGGGGTTTGCAGTGTGGACTGCCCTCTGCGCACCACTCCTGCTGCATCCTGAGTTTTCCTTTCTTTCACTTTCGTTATCATTGAACCTGTTGGTGGTTTGGGAGTATGTTTTTAAATTCCTCATATTTGTGAAGTTTTCATTTTTCCTTCTGCTTTTGACTTCGAGTTTCAGTCCATTATGGGCAGACGAGTTAGTTGGTGTGGTTTCAGTGTCTTAAATTTGAGGTATTTCTTATGGCCTAGCGCTGTCTGCCTGGATGCACGTTCTGCTGGTTGTTTTTGGTGTTTCCAAGCCCTCTCTTTTCTCATTGGCCCCATCGTCTAGTGGTGAATCCCGAATGGAAAATGGACTGTTGAG